CTCCCCCCGACCCCCTCACCCCGACCCTCTCCCCTACCACCACCGCCAACGTCGCCCCGCCCTCCACCAACCCCACCTCCCCCTTCCACCCCCCCCTCCCCCTCCCTTATCTCGCCCCACCCCCTCCCCCCCGCCCCACCCCGCTCACCACCTCCCCGCCGCCGTTCTCCTTCTCAACCGCCAGCCGCCCCCTCTTCCATCGCGCCCTTCTCATGCTGCCCCCGTCTCTGGAATCATTTCGCGGGAGCGCGCGTCGCGTCCGTTCCCCTGGCGCGCCTGCCAGCGTGGCCAGAGGGGTTCGGCGTCGCCCGCGGACTCGAACCCCCCCCCGTTCCCCCTCACCCCCTTTCCCATCCCCCTCCCACCACCACCGCCACGCACGCGCACCCGCCCACTCACCCACCCACCCGCCCACCCACCCACCCACCCACCCACCGCCCATCCACCCACCCACCCGCCCACCCACCCACCAACCCACCCCCCCGCTCACCCCCCCACCCCCCCACCCACCCACCCCACACGCACACACAAACACACACACACACACACACACACACACACACACACACGCCACACACACACACACACACACACACACACACACACACGCACACACACGCACACACACACACACACACACACACACACACACACACACACACACACACACACACACACACTCACACACACATACACACACAACGCGCACGCGCACGCACGCACACGCACACACACACGCACACACACGCACACACACACACACCACACGCACAGACGCACGCGCGAACGCACACCCACACACACACACACGCGCGCGCACACACACCCACACACTTCTTACACTTACACACGCACACACACACATGCACACCCACACACACAACCACACACGCACACACACACACACGTACCACCATTATTCAAACCACCACCACCACCACCACGATCATCACACACCCACCAACACACACACACGCGCACAACCACACACACGCAAGCACGCGCACACGCACACGCACACACACACACCACCACCACGACCACTTCCGCCATCATGAACCCCCCCCCGCCCCCCCCTCCCCGCACCGCCACCGGCACGCGCGCGTGCACATGCGCACCACCCGCCCAAACGCCCGCAAATCGTCCACTGCCAAATGGGCGCTCCCGCACCTGGCAGACGATGCGGCCTTCTGGGGTGCGCGCTAACTGTGGGCGCCCATTTGGCAGTGGGCGGCTTGCGGGCGGTTGGGGCGGTGGTGCGCATGTGCATGCGTGCGTGGTGGTGTTGGGGGGGTGGGGGGGGGAGGGGGGGGGGGCGGGGGAGGGTGGTGGTGGTGTGGATGATGGTGGTGGTAGTGGTGGTGTGCGTGTGTTTGTGGGTGCATGTGGGTGTGTGTGTGCATGTGTGTGTATGTGTGGGTGAGTGTGGTGGTGGTGTGCGTTGGTGGGCGCGTGTGTGTGTGTGTGTTCGATTGTGGTAGTGTGCATGTGTGTATGTTTGTGTGTGTGTGGGTGGTTGTGTGTGGTGTGTGTGTGTGGTTGCGTTTGGTTGGTTGGTTGGTTGGTTGGTGTGTGTGCGTGCGTGTGTGTGTGTGTGTGCGTGTGTGTGTGTGTGCGTGTGCGTGCGGGCGCGCGTTTGCGTGTTTGCGTGCGCGTGTGCGCGCCTGTGCGCGCGCGTGCGCTTGCGGGCCCTGCGGGGCCCCATGGTGGACTCAATAAGGGACCCTGTGGTGGGCCCACAAAAAGGCCCAGTGGGGCGCTACAGGATGAAGGCACCACGAATGCCCCATGGGAAAGCATAGCATGGTTTTGAACGTGATCTGCCCTCTATCCCCGACCGCTCGTCAACGCGAACTGGTATTGCGTGGCCCGAGATCGCAGGGCAGCAGGGCCTCAGGGCCCCAAGGCATCGCTGGACCTCGGCCAGCACGACATCGCGGGGGAGGGGGTCCCTGGGTCCGTGGGTCCCGCGTTTGTTGGAGGGGGTCCCTGGGTCACGCGTTAGCGCGGAACTGGCCGTTCGTTTACCCTCCCCCCCCATTGCACCTCCCGTAGCCAGTTGTGCTCACACGGTTCGGTTCCAGGTGAGTTCGATTTCAGACATCTGCGCGCGAGGTCTCATTCCAGCGATGTCGGTCCACAGCGTTCATTCAGACGACGGCAGCTGCTCCGAGGGGAGCCCAATGACGGGCAATTCAGGTGTCGGCCCCAAGCGTCGCCGCTCGCTCTCAGAGCGTCGGACGGCACCTCCGCAGGAATCGTGGAGAGCAGCGTATGATGACCCGAATGACAAGCAGGAGCATGCGGATACGGGGCCGACAGCCAGCTCGGGGGCTCCAGAGCCGCAGGAAGCAGCTGAGGCAGAGGGCTCAGCGAGCGAAGCGGCGTTTGCGGAGCTCCCGATGCGCGCGGCGCCATCATCGGCGTCTGGTTTACCTGCCCTGCCACGGATCGGTTGGTCGGATTTCACGGAGGAGAGGTACATGAAGAGCATCGTGCACCAGTACGACGACTTCAGCAGCATGCCTCCGCATGTCCTGAGCGTCTTCCAGCGCCTCCGCCCGTGCGAGTTCGTGTCCGACGGCCAACGCACTGTCTACGTCAAGAGGGCGAGGTACACTGTGCGGTACACGGTGGAGGGGGATGTTCGCCACAGCTCTGAGTAGTTGGATAGTTGGATGCCTTCGTGCGTGGTGCTGCGCCAGAGTGTGCCGTAGCATGAGACAGTGGGCGTATGTTAGCGCCAGTGCCAGTGCAGACCCCTCAGAGAAATGATTAAATTGACAGTGCAATTGAGTTGACATAGCACGTTCTGTTTCTAAAAATGATTGGATCGACTCATTGCGCGTTGTAGTGGGCTGTGCCGAATCTGCAAGGCCACGAGCCGTAGCTAGCGAGAATACGTGGCCAATGTGTTGCGGTCAATCTCAGAGGGTACGTTTTCTCCGAGCCCACCTGGGGCAGAAAAAGAGATACCCGCAGCAGGGCCTTCCCAGCAGGTGCCGCTGGGAGGAGGGGTCGAGAGGTCCGAGGCATCGGCCACTGGCCAGCCTGAGGTGTCAAGGCTCGAAGATGGCCCTGACTCGACGCCCGCCCGCGGTGCGGGAAGGAGAAGGACGAGGAGGGGGAGGAGGAGGAGGGCGAGGGGGAGGAGGACAAGGAGGAGGATGAGGAGGGCGTTCACTGCGCATGGCTGTTCTCGGGCTCCATGCCCAGTAAGTGTTACACGCAGTGAATAATAGAATTGTTGACGCTTCGCGAATCCCCACCAGCCCATCCAGAAACGATGCCCAGAGGAATCGCCTCGATCAGGGAAGTGGGCAGCGCGCCGAGGAAGCCATTATGAGACATCTTGGGGTATCTTGAGTCATCGTGGAGGTCATGTTGGGCTCTCCAGGCGCTCATCGAGCCATCTTAATCAGTGCCCCCCCCCCAAAGAGGCCACCGTGTGGCTAACGGCGAACACCTTCGTAAACTCAATGGTTTGGCATTCTCGCCGAGGCCTCTTGGAGCATCGTGGGTGCTTCTGGGTGATCTCTTGGGGCCTCCTGGGGGTCTCTTGGGCGCCTCCTGGGGGCTTCTTGGGGGTCCCGTGGGGACATCTTGGGGCCATCTTGGGACCTCTCGGGGCCTCCTGGGCGCTTCTTGGGGCCATCTTGGAGGAGATCGATCACGCGAGAGGGGAGCTTGGATTAGGGTCCCCCCCTCAGGAGGCCAACATGAGGACACAATCACAGTAAAACCAATGAGTGTGGCTTCCTCGCCGAGGCCGTCTAGGACGCCCTGGCACCTCGCGACCCCCCCCCCCCCGTCCAGGCCCAGGGGGGGTAGGGGGAGGGGTAACCCCCTACCCGCAGGGGAAGAATCAGGGGTGGAAGAGGGAACTCTCTAAACCACCGACGCCCAGAGGGCTGGTGGGATTATTCTTGACGCTTCGCGTGTCCCCACCAGCCCATCCAGGAACGACGCCCAGGCGCGTCGAGGTGAGCAGGGAAGTGCGGGAGGCCCTCTTGGGCCCCCTGATGGGCCCATAAGATGGTTCCAAGAGGGCCCTAAGAGGGCCCCAAGAGGGGCCCAAACGGGACCCAAGAAACCGCTGGTAGGTCTCATCGAACAGCGCATCTGGATGAGACCTCCCAGTGGTCTCTGGGGCGCATGTTGGAGCCCTCTTGGGGCCCTCTGGGGGCCCTCTGGGGCCCCTGGTTGGCCCATGAGGTGGCTCCAAGAGGGCCCTAAGAGGGCCCCAAGAGGGCCCCGAGAGGGCCCCGAGAGGGCCCCAAGAGGGTGTCAAGAGGGCTCCCTGGGGTTGTCACGCAGGGCCCCTTCCTGTGACAACACCTTACGATCTTTAGAAGACCACAAGAGGACGTCAGGAGGGCCCCAAGAGGGGTCCAAGAGGGCCCCTAAGAGGGCCCATAGAGGGCCCATAGAGGGCCCAAGAGGGCTCCAAGAGGGTCACCTCGGGTTGTCACGCAGGGCTCCTTCCTGTGACAACCCCTGATGGCGGCCTTTGAAGACCCCAAGATGACCCCAGGAGGGACCCAAAGGGGCCATGCAAGGGCCCCAAGAGGGCCCCAGAGCGCCCAAGAGGGCCCCAAGAGCCAAGAGGGCCCCCTGGGGTTGTTACGCAGGGCGCATTCCTGTGACAACCCCTTGCTGTCTTAAGAAGACCCCAAAAGGACTCCAGGAGGGCCCAAGAGACAAGAGGTCCCCAAGAGGGCTCAAGAGGGCCCAAGAGGGCCCCGAGATGGCTTCAAGAGGGCTCCCTGGGGTTGTCACGCAGGGCCCCTTCCTGCGACAACCCCTTGCGGTCTTTAAAAGGCCCCAAAAGCACCCCAGGAGGGCCCCAAGAGGGCTTTACTAAGAGGGTCTCCGTCGTAGTTTCTGGCTCAGGCATTAGATGACGATCTTGAGTGGACCCGCCTGAGCCAGTTGCTGTAGGCTTGGTGCTGTCACACTGTCCAGCGATCAGCGCTCCGAGCTCCGAGCGCGCCGCCAGGATGGGCAGGAAGCGTGCTGCCAGCGCGGCCGCCCCAGCCGCTGGCGGCCCCTCTGGGGACGCCGGCGGCCGCGGAGCGCGCGGCGGCGCTCGCGGTCGGGGAAGCGGGCGTGGCAAGCGCGCCAAGACGGCATCAGCGAGCGAGAGGGAGGCGACCTTGGTGGGGCCGCTGGTGATCAGGAAGAAGACTACGGACACCAGTGGCGGAGGAGTTTGCGGGCGCTGCGGGGCCACTGAGAGCAGTGACAACCCCTTCCCCGACGCGAAGATGCCCAACGAGCAGATCCAGAAGTTCGCCCACGCGTGCTCCTACCACTTCTGCGGCTACGTGAAGGGCAAGTTCTGGATGGACTTCAACTGGTCTTCGATGTGTGCCACGTGCGAGCAGGACGAGGAGCTTGCCGAGAGCTTCGAGGCGGCCTGCGAGACGATCGACGGCAGTCGCGAGGCCTCCTCCCTGCCGCAGGCCGTATCGACGGACCACCAGACAGGCATCATGGTCTTTCCAGACTGCATCTTGATCACGGAGAAGCAGTACCAGGCCGACATCGCCCCGACAGGGGCTTCCGCCTTGCTGCCGTCTCAGGCTGGCGAGCGCGAGACGACGCTCCAGAACGAGATGAAGGGCGAGTCCGTCACAGGAATTTTGGCGAGGGACCCGCAGTCGCCCTACCTCAAGGCGCGCAGGTTCAGCACGGTGATGGGCAGCCGCGTCGAGAAGGCGCTGAGCGCAGAGGACTACTGCAAGGACGGCGCAGGCATCGCTTGCGAGGACGTGATCAACAGGCTGCTGCGGGAGGGGCTGCCCGTCTCATTGAGGGGGCACGTCGACATCCCTACGGTGTCCGAGCTCAAGCTTCGAGCCGTCGGCGCAGCCAGGGCGCTCGGGCTGGTCGGGCCCGATGGGCCTCACGGGCTCTCCCAGGTGGCAGGCGGGGGCCCGCTCGCGATCGCTGACGCAATCGTTGACGGCACCGTCGGCGACTCAGGGCTTGCTGCACAAGGGCCACGCGGCGGCCAGGCGACTCGCAGTGGCGGGGCTGTCGTTGCCCAGCAGCCCGAGTCCGAGGCGTGCGGACATGTTCCTGACGGACTCGACGGAGATGGTGCAAGCGTTCCGAGGCTCGATGTGACTGCTGAGCCGTCGGTCGCGGGCAATCGCAGCGACCGTCGAGGAAGCGCAAGCGCCGCGGCGTGCCAGACGCCACCGTCCGCCAAGGGGAAGACCCCGCCAGCCGATGCGAAGGAGAGGGATCGGTACCAGGAGATCGTCGCCAGCATCAACATGGGCCTCCTCTTGACGAAGGGCGCCAACCACAGCACCGGCGATCGCATTTACGCCTTGAAGCGCTTCAAGCCGAAGAGCGAGCTCATCGAGAGCCTCCAGCGGACGGCACTCGCCGACATCGAGACCTGCACCTCTCTCGGTGGCAACGCGCTGGAGGTCATGTCGCTGGACACGCGGGTCCGCTTGCTCAAGAAGATCAGGCGCGTGAAGCTCGACGGCGCCGAGTCGTGGATGATCAACTTGTGCGCGGTGGCGACCAGGGAGGCCAACGATCCGAGCATCAAGGTTGACATCGCACTGCCGTGGAAGTCTTATACGGTGGGCGGCTCCCAAGCTGATGCCAACATCTGCCCCCTTAGTGTCGTTTAAGTCGTTCCCCATCCTGCCGTGCCCCCAGACTGCTCACTCCCCCGACGCACCTCCTCCATTCTCACCTCCGACCTCCTTCCACCCCCCACTTCGATGATGCTGGCGTCGGCGAGGGAGGCCCCGAGGTTGGAGATTTCTCGCCGCTGGCGCCGTCGATGGCAGAAGTCGGCATCGCAGCTGACCGCATCATCGACGAGGGCAGGGATTTCTTCATCAGCAACGTGGTCTTGCCTTTGACTCGGGCGGACGTAGTCGACACGGAGTACATGAGTGCCTTGATCAGTGCCCTCCTCGTGCGCGTCGGCGACCAGACGATCCGCGAGGAGGCTGGCCCGTGCAAGAACCTCGCCTACGAGATCTTCGTGTTCACCGAGGCCGTTCGCGTGTTGCTCGACTCATCACCCACGGCGTTGCTGGAGTGCACGTGCAGGTCTGATGTGCGCAAGCTCCTGCGAGAGGAGTTCGGGGCGACGCGGCGCACCGTCGTGACCACCTTCGGTGCTGAGTGGCAGGAGGTGCTGGCTGAGTACAATCGCGCCTACTTCTCCGACGTGAAGTACGGGGAAAAGGTCAAGCACGTCATGGATATCGTATCGGGGCCCACTCCCATTAGCGATGCTAGCATTCAGGATGTCATCGGCAATCTGCTGGAATGGGGCGCATTCCTCCGCAAGGGCGCCGCTTCTGGCATGCTGGACTCGTTCCACGAGCAGGTGGTCGGGTGGATTGGCGTCCAGACCGCCCAGCTGGAACAGGGAGGACACACACCGACCATGGACTTCTCGAAGAGCCTGAACTTGAAGCTCCTCGAACTCATCTCCGAGATGCCGAAGATCCGCGGCGTGGACGAGGTCGCCATTCAGAAGTTCAACAAGCTGCAGAGCAACGTGGAGGCGATGGGGTCTAAGTTCCACATCCACGGCCAGGCTACCAAGCTTCGCGAGGCGTGCTCACAGTTCGACCCTTCTGACGCGAACTCCGTGAAGACCATCACTGGCGCGCTGAACTCCACTATGGGCGAATTGTTCGGTTCACAAGCTTGCGTGGCCGCGATGGGTTCTTGCGCTCAGGTCTGCTTGTCGCACGCCGCAGCTGTGGGTGCCGACTCAGCCAAGAGGTGCGATTTCACATCGAACTTAGCCGACTATGCCGAGAAGATAAAGACCATCGCGATGATTGCCACCGCACTCTTGAACCGCATCCTCGATCCCAACGCTGAGGCCAAGCATATGATGACTACGTGCAAGTGCTTGCGCATCCTGCTGACCCTGATGGTTCAGGTCGGGGAGCTTGTCAAGGTCGAGCCGTTCTCCGAGGTTCCCGCGGATGCGTTCGAGAAGCATCTTTCGGCATGGGTGTGCGAAGCATTGCCACACACTGTCTTTGGGGTGGGTGCTGGGGAGGGCCAGGTTCTTGGGGCTGGATGCGAGATATGTGGTTTGGTTTTGACGTCGTCCTGGTGCTCGGGGGTTCTTGGCCCCCGAGCTTTGGATGGGCAGGCGCCAGTGCCAGGGGGAGGGGGGGTGGCAGATGCTGGCAATGCTTCCCCCGCCTCGAAGGGGTGGCAGTTGGTAAAATCAGGACTGGCTGCCTTTTTGGAGATTGGTGCAAATGCAGAGGTGAACGATGCTGTCATCGAGGCGTCGGCCGATGACAACCCAGCTCAACCAGGCAATCCGACAGCCCCACGCGGCTCGAACCTCGAGGACTACAAGCCTGCCCCCGCCATGCTGGAGTTCGCGGGTTTGGCAAAGTCCGTTGTCCAGAAGGCCCGCGCCGTGATCAAGGAGTTCTCGACGGCACACTGGGATGCATCCCACGAGGCAGGCTTGAACATCTTGGCGGCGCTGGCCGACTGCAAGGGGGGGGATGTTCAACAATGGCGGCGAGCACTGGTCGAAGGGCGCGGAGCTTGAGACCTGGGAGCAGTTGTCCGACCACGCGAAGCGCACGCTCTTCAAGCAGAAGGGGATCACGGTCACGGTGCGCAATCGCGAAAAGGAGTTGCACAACCACATGGTCTCGCTGAAGGAGATCGCTGCTGATCACGGTGCCAAGGATCAGTACACAGAGTTCGAGAAGAAGGCGAATGCCGTCATCGGCATCGCTAACGCTAGCATGTTCTAGGCGCGGCTGCTGCAAGCGATGAGGGGGGCCAAGAAGGCGGCCGACATCAAGGAGACGCTCTTCGCGTTCAGGGATGAACTGCACGACGCGAAGCTGTTCAGCGAGAAGGACGCGCACCCGATGGTCACCATGAAGTTCGAAGCAATGCAGGCGGAGGCCAACAACGAGCAGCACTGAACGGGCGATGCGACGCTCGCAGGTGGATGCTCGCAGGTGGACGGGCTCGAGGAGGCCCGCCACCCCTGGGCCCCCAGCCAGGAGGAGGACGAGGAGGAGGACGAGGACGGGGGGAGGGGATGATGAGGGGGAGGAGCAGCAGCAGGGGGGAGGAGGGGGCGGAGGAGGGGAGAGGATAAAGGCTGGAGAGGAGGAAGGGGGAGGAGGAGGAGGAGGGGGTAGGAGGAGGGAGGAGGAGGGAGGAGGAGGAGGGGGGGAAGGGAGGGAGGAGGGAGGGAGGGGGGGGGAGAAGGAGGGAGCGCTGCTTGAGCAACGTTGGCGGTGCCCTTTCTTCGAGCGGCACCGTGTGAGAGGAGGTCCGCCGCTCGCGCGATCGGAGAGGAAGTCGGCATCGCCCTCATCATCCACCTCCCCCTCCGCCCTCCCTTCCCCCACTCTCCACTATCCCTGTCCATCCTCCACTTCGTCCGCCTCGGCGTTCTTCTCGTAACCACCCCGCTTCCCCCACCGCCGTCCGTCTCATCATCCCCATCCCCCCGCCTCCAGCATCATCATCATCGCATGTGTTTCGCCACTGCTACTGGCTCAAACTTAACGTTGCATATCGCAACGAGGTCAACCACGTCACAAGCAACAATGCCAGCCCTGAGTTCTAATCTGACCGTGAGCTTGGCAACGGTCGTAGGTCTGACTCGCATTCAAGTTGCGATCCTGGCCGCAACCGCTGTCTCACCAGGCACCTTTCACCAAGTGTGAACCTGCACCCCAGTCGACTGCCGACCAATTGCTCTAGCTATGATGTTGGCCCTGGCCCAACTCTGGGCAGCAGCGCCGCGCAATTCGGCCAGTCGCGACAGCGATGCCTGACCATGGCCCGCCAGCAACACCAGATCCAGATTGGCAACCGTCGCGCGCAATCGGCCACGCACCCCGCATGTAGCACGAATCGCAAACAATCGCGCGGGCCGCAACGCCATCTAAACCAGCCTACCCCGAGTCGCCGCGCCCTCCCAACACTAACGCATCGGGCCAGGCGGGCGTGGCCGAATGTCGGCGCTGTGCGGCGCAGAGCCAGCGCCGCCCCCGCGCCGCTGCCGAGACAATGTCTCGCGCGCGCGTCCACGCGCGAGGCAGTCGTCGTGGGAGCGGCGTTGCCCGAGAGGGGCGGCATTGGGTTCGAGGGGGAACGCCGTCGCCCTCAACGGCTGCGTTGCCATGGGCGCGACGTGGCAACAATGCGCGCATTTCGCCATGGGCTGGACCGTGACCGACGGTGCAGCGGCATTCAGCAAGCACTTGGTTTGTTGCGGTGCGCCCTTGCGTGGTTTGTTGGTTGTGCTCGTAAATCGAGCGCTGACGATAACTGTTGCCCAACCATGTTTCCCCGCGCCTGCGCCCGCGCCATGTCTCATCGGCAACCCACGCAGCCTAGAGCCCGTTCGCCAATTGTCCTTGAACATGGGCCCCGCGTGCGCCGCCGCGGCCCGAGTTCGATATCCAAGCCGCGTCTAGGTTTTGGCCATTGCCCTACCATCGCCGTGACGGCGAACGTTGTCCAAACCCGAACACCAATTTAGATGCCACGTTCGTTGCGCTCGAGGCAGTGGGCCACCATCCGCCAGGACAAAACCCCGCTTGCCAGCGCCACGCAAAACCACTGTCATTAATTCCAGGGTTTGCACCCCAGTCAAGACATGGCGCTGGGCCCCGCAAAATGGGAAGGCGTCCGATGTAAGTGGCATTTGGTTTCTTTCACATCGCCCATGGCCTTCCGTTCGTCAGCGGGCTGCTCTTCACGCGTGGCATGCCAGCCCAGCGCCAGTGAGGGCGCGTGGAATGCATGGCTTCGTTGGCTGATTCGAACTCAAGGAGCGATTTCGCCCGCGGCCGCCAACGTTCTCAAAACGCATAGCGGCGCGGATAAAACGCAGTCGCGCCAAGAAAACGCATAAATATGCGCGGGGCAACGTGCATGACAAAATCTCATGCGTGCCAGCCGTAGCCTCATGCAACTTCACACATCGATCAAATAATTTCGTCTGCGAAAATTGTAAAAAGTTGCCCATCAAAGATTTCTCAATGTGAACAACAAGTAAAACACGGCCACCAAAAATCAACAACGCCACAACCCATCAAAACCCATCTCCCAGAGACCCCACAGGAAGGCCCGAAAGAAAGACCCAATGGTAGGAGGAGGAGGAGGAGGAGGAGGAGGAGGAGGAGGAGGAGGAGGAGGAGGAGGAGAGGAGGAGGAGGAGGGGGGGGAGGAGGGAGGAGAATGGAGCGGTAGGCGAGGAGCTAAGACGGCAGGACGAGGGAGGAGCGGGCATGGAGGGAAGACGAAGGAGAAGGGGAGGAGGTAGGACAAGAGGAATGAAGACAATGAGAAGGATGGAGAAAAAGGAAGAGGAGGAGGAGGAGGAGGAGGAGGAGGAGGAGCAGGGGGATGAAGAAGACTGTGACGAGGAGGAGAATGAGGAGGAGGAGGAGGAGGTATGATGAGACGTGCCAGAAAAAGCCTCGCCTTCGAGGGATCGCAGGAATTGGCAGCCCGTCCTCGGCGGGAGGCCGGCGGATGCAAAACAGCGGCGAGCTCGCCGGCGGAAGCCGGTGGAAGGCCAGCCGAAGCCGGCGGAAGTGTTGGCCGAGCAGGGGCGAAGGCTGGGGGCAAGGGCCCAGACCCCTTCGCGTCGTGAGAGGATCTCGACGGGAGCTTTTCCGCTATGTTCGGCCTCTGGGGGCCCTCGCCGGGCCTCGGGGACCGCCAAAGAACAGCTCAGGAGCAAAAACCGGTCCTGGGGAAGGGGTCCAGACCTTTGGGGTCGACCAATGCACCCCCAAGAGTTGGCAAGGTTTTTTGTCCAAGGTTTCTGGGGTCGGCCTTGTGGCGCAATGTATGCTTTATTTCCAGGGCCTGGGTTTCCAGCAGTTGCGCCGATGGAGAGCAAACAGTTTTCAAGATCTAGATCGCGCCCGAGACATCCTCACATATTGCACCCCACGCAGGGCGTGCACGAGCTTGCACGAACGGTTCTCCTGATCGCGTTGTAATGAACTCGCCGTCCTCTGTGGTTGGTCGCCGTCCTCGAAACTGGGCTTAAACTTGTTTAAACTGGAGCAGATGTCGCGCCTGCAGCAGATTAGGCGCCTGTTCTCATGCATCGGCCCCTGCGTGCTAGCCTACACTCCATGCACAGCACTCGCAAGGTTTTCACCCATTGTCGCAATGATCAGAGCTCTCGCGGTTTTCACCCATTCATCTTCGCGTCACCCTTCTGCCAACGCACCTCTGGCGTGCACGGCCTCAGCCTGCCTGGCTGCCTGTCTGCAATGAACTCGCCGGGTGTTGCAGTGTTGGCGTTGGGCACCGCAGGTCCCGACGATAGACGCCAGACCTTCCTGGCCCCAGACCAAGCCTCTGGGTCGGGTCGGTGTTGGAGGTCGCCGCGGCGATCGCGGCGGCCACAGTTTGGCGCCAGGTGTTTGGCAAGGTGTGGCATGCCATTTCCCGGCCGCCCAGGCGCGGATTACGATTAGCCATACATCGAAGGAGAAGCAGAAGAAACGCCGTAAACATAAAGTGATGGCAGTCCGCGCGGATGTCTTGGACCTGCGCTGAGGCCCCTGGCGCGCTCCGCGCACCAGGGAAGCAGGTCCAGCGCAGATCCAAGAAATCCGCGCGGAGCGCCAAAAGTTTATGTTTATGCGTTTCTTCCTCCGAATGGTTCTAATACAGCGACAGAGCGTTGTCGAGTTATGTCCAGCATGTGTCGTCATTTGTTTTGGTTTAGGGGTCGCTTATCACGCAACCATTTGGGGGTCCACCCACAGGGTCCTATACAGATCAGGGGGCAACGTGAGGAGGACGGACTCAGGGGTGAATGCGTCGGCACCCCCGATCGCCCATGGATGGCCCAGAGAGGCCCAATGGCACACCCCGCCCAGGAGCGTTCCGTTTCGCTCTCGGGAGCCTATCGCCGATCTGTCGGCGACGTATCGCCGATTTCAGCTCGATGCTTCCCCCCCTGAGCTGGTTCCCCCTGAACGTTGCCCGTCAGGCATGGGGGCCCACCCATGGGATCACATCCACAGGATCCCCCCAGCAATTACACCACGTGAGAAAGACCTCGCAGCAGCAACCCATGAGAGTGCCCCATAATGAGCAGCGGCCTCATCGGATAGTCATAAGACACCTGCAGAGAGATCCATGGTTTGCACCCTCTGATTGGCACCCGCTAGTGTGCACTCGATTTACGCGCACAGTACTTCAACAATGAATGCTGAGCGCGCGCCGTGGCAGCGCTTCCAACCTCCGCTCGCGAGGCCCGCGAGGGGGTGGCAGCCCCCCCACCATCCCACTCGGGAGCGAGGGGGCCCCTTGGTTTGGCGAACCTTTGTCCAAACGGCCAGCAATAACGCAGTTTGGATGCTTTGTCCCGACGCCAGGATCTGAGGGCGCGCCCAGCTGAACGGGCGGATTGGAGAAACGCCGCGCCAGTGCCAGGCCCAGGTCCCAGGCATCGCAGTGCAGTGCAGTGGCGAAAGGAAGGAACAACCCCGATGTCTCAAAAGGGGCGTCGAAGGCGAGATTGGAGCCCGAGCAGGGAGCTCGCGCAACCCGCCAGGCCAGAGAGGGCATCCACAAGATGGGGACATCGGTGGGGCTGGAAAGGCCGACAGTTGGAGGGGAGAGTGGGGTTGGCGGGGAAGACAGTACCGTCCACGCGAGGCGATGATATGCCTTCTTTTCTCTGGCACGAAGCGAGACTGTTGAGCTACACAAATTACACGGAGAGAAGGACGGCGAGGAGTCGGTGCCAAGCGAGAGAGGGCGGCTGCACGCAGCTACCAAGGTTGGCCTCGGCGGGGAAGGGTTTGGGGCAGAGGATGATGCGTGGCCGATGCTTGGCATCGAGGGCGGCTCCCGCGCGGCCCACAATGGCGCGCGCCGCCCCCCGCTTCGGCTGCCGTCGCGGGGGCCGTCAGTTCCACCATCGGGT